AGCCCTCTCATCATTACTTGGTAAATCAAGTCAACAAAAAGTCAGGACAGGACTGTAACAACAAAATTGACCAGCCTGGTTTGAAGTGCCCCAGACCACTCCCACTGAAGACACGTTGCTACCGAAAACATGCAATGTGCCTAAAAATGGACCTCATTCTGAGCCTGAATGTCTTAGCAAATTCAGTGACTCGGTTTCCCAGAGACCATGTCTTTTGAGCACAAATCTGTTAAAGGAAGCACCGTTGCGGGCTGAGTCGTATTGTCCCCCCACAGACATTCGGAGGTCGAAGTCCTGACCTGCAACATCTCAGAAGGTGCCTGTATGTGGAGCTGGGGTCTGCAAAGGTGTGAACAGGTCCCAGTGAGCTTCCAGGGGTGGGCCCTAGTCCCATAGGACTGGTGTCCTCCCAGGAGGGGCAGATTAGGACCCAGACACACAGAGACAGGCACCATTTGCAAGAATGGGACCCAGGGGAGCCCCACATTTATTACAAAGGACACACCCCAGGAGCATGCAGGCGGAGGAGATGCTGAGGGCAGTGCCCAGGGGCGTGGGGCTTCTGTGCCCTCTGCGGGCGGTCCCCCCCTGCAGGCTGTGTCACAGGGGCAAGATCAGTTATTCACTCAATGTCCAGCCCACATGGAGGCTGGGTTGGAAGCTCCAGGCTTCCAACTGTGGTCTGGTCCTTCTAGCCGCCAGCCCTCGCGCTGAGGCTATCTGGGGCCCCACCAAGATGTGTCTCATCAGAGCAAAAGATGCTCCTGTCACCCAGGAAATCCCAAGGGACCCAGCTGCTTGGTGGCAGGGACCCCATATTTTGGCCGTTGTGGATAATGAGCACTTTTCCCCTAGGTCATTGTCACGGATATTTCTGTGGCGTCCTACTAGTCAAGAGTTTGGACACTGCATGGAACAGCTCTGCTAGGCGGCTGATGGTGGAGGTCCGTGCATTTCCGTGTTCTGTTCAGCTCTTCTTTTTGCCTTAATAGTCAATGCTTTGATCCAGTCTTCTCGCTAAGCCTTGTGGGACGCTGTCTACCCATGGGAGGAGACTGAGAAATAGGCTTGCGGAAGGCGACTGAGGGGAAAGGCTAATTGGGGTAGAGATTCTGTCTCAGAAGGCTGGCACTGTGATCTTGTGTCCCAGCGGGTGGCTGAGGGAGGGCTGAGGAGCCCTGGGAGTCCAATTTTGGATTATAAAAAAAATCTCTGCTGCAGGAAGTGCAGACTTTGCAGTGGACACTCCCCGGCCGTGTAGACCTGTTGATGACCCACCTC